TACCACGACGACCAGGACGACGAGACGAAGAGATCGCCGTCGAGATCACCGCCAGCTGCCGCCGCACGCGCCGCCACGCGCCGCCGGAAGTGAGCAGCTGCCGGAGCTTACTCGCGCGTGTGAGAGCGCGTGAACAGTCCGATTTCCGATCGGTCAACGCTGTTGACTTCGCCGTGACGCCAGCTTTCTGGATTGGTCAAGTTTGTTCGATTCCGAGAAGATTTGATTTGCGGTCAACTGTTCGGGCCAGCCATATCTACATAAATTTTAAGCAGTAAGTTTTCTTCATCAAACCTTTAGATCCGCTGCGCATAGGTTTATGTTGAATGTTTGTCCGTGATTTGTGCATATCGAGATCCTCATATGTTCCAACAGTGTGATGGCTCGGCTCGTTAACCCAAGGTTGGGAGTGCGGATAGGGGAAAGCACGGTAGATATTCATATCTCCTGCACACCAAAACATAATAACCACACGTAGCCACGAAAAAGAATGACAAAGAAAACAAAAACAAAAAAGACAAAAAGAAAAACAAAGATGCGGAAAAAGAAACACAAAAAAGAAGAACACAAAACAAAGAGAAACACAAAAAATAAAATCAACACCAAAACCAAATATCCTACTTGCCTTCCCCGGCAACGACGCCAAATTTGTTGTGCACAAATTATTATTTTTATATCGAGTACCGTATCGAAAGATTTGTTCCCCGGGTCGATCTGATGAGGAAGGCGGTTCAGAATTTAGCTTTGGTAATGATAACACTGTAACAACAAATTTCGTGTGTTGAAGTTAAAAGCACGAAAAATATTATTCAAATGAAATTTCTTGAATCAAATAAATATTGTGGGTCATAATCTCTATTTTCTCCTCTGATTTTTCTCACGAACAATTTTATGTCTTGGAGCAAAATCTTCGGCTTGATCTTCTCCTTGACTTCATTTGACTTGAATTAATGTTAATTCCAGGGCCAACGCATTGATTTTTGATCAAACACCGTTACATCCCAAGAATGTGAAGAACACGACCCTTGGTCTTCGCCGCAAAGTAGATCTTGAATCTTCTCTATGTCGGTTTTTGAATTTACTAACTTTATTTAGAGGCTTCGCAACTTGTTTTCGGATTGAACACCAGCCTTGAGGTTGAATGCGCTTGAATCTTGCTTCGAATCTTCAAGATCGCCTTTGAGTCTTCAAGAACACTAGAATCTCGTCGAGAGAATCTCTAGAGCTCTTGAACATGAACTTGAATATGAACGTACTTCAGAGTCTTGACAACTTCTTTCTGGATTAAACATCGGTTTTGTGCTTTAATGTGCTTGAATCTTCCTTCGAATCTTCAAGAACGACTTTAAATTTTCAAGAATACTTGAATCTCGTCGAGAAAATTCTCTAGAGCTCTTGAACTTGAACTTGAATTATGATGTGTGTCTTTGTCTTTAGGGAGGGTCCCTATTTATGGTGTAGGAGAGAGAATTCTACCAAATTCAAGAATCGTAGGGCGCGATTTTATTGGTCTACGATGATTCACATA